TGCTTAAAAAATAAATGCTCATCCCTAACTCAAAACCTAGCACGAACACAACCATCTGTTGTTTTTTTATTGGGTGAGCCGCATTGACAAATACCAAGCACTTCTCTCAACACTTGTCGTTTGGTAGGGTCTGATGTCAAGGTCACCCGGCCGTCAGCAGAATGACGTCATGGTGTCTGTTGTCAGGTGCGATCTTTGGTGTTTAATTAACGTCTGGTGACGTCAGAGTACTTGTAGAACAGAAGAGTGAGGGGCGGGGGACTCAAAGAATTTTTTATTTGTTCAGCGACACGAGAGGTTTGTGTCTGTAGGTGTCCGCCTTTGTCTTGGGTTAAAGGTCAATGGGGTTTTAGGTGTTGAGTTATCTGCCTTGGTTGGTGGTCAAGTTGTTCTTGGTTGGTGGTCAAGTTGTCCTAGGTTGGTGGTCAAGTAGTCCGTCTTGATTGGTGGTCAAGTTGTCCTAGGTTGGTGGTCAAGTAGTCCTAGGTTGGTGGTCAAGTAGTCCTAGGTTGGTGGTCAAGTAGTCCGTCTTGATTGGTGGTCAAGTTGTCCTAGGTTGGTGGTCAAGTAGTCCTAGGTTGGTGGTCAAGTAGTCCTAGGTTGGTGGTCAAGTAGTCCTAGGTTGGTGGTCAAGTAGTCCTAGGTTGGTGGTCAAGTTGTCCTAGGTTGGTGGTCAAGTTGTCCTAGGTTGGTGGTCAAGTTGTCCGCCTTGGTTGGTGGTCAAGTTGTCCTAGGTTGTTGGTCAAGTTGTCCTTAGTTGGTGGTCAAGTTGTCCTTAGTTGGTGGTCAAGTTGTCCGCCTAGGTTGGTGGTCAAGTTGTCCGCCTAGGTTGGGGGTCAAGTTGTCCGCCTAGGTTGGTGGTCAATTTGTCCTAGGTTGGTGGTCAAGTTGTCCTAGGTTGGTGGTCAAGTTGTCCTTGGTTGGTGGTCAAGTTGTCCTTAGTTGGTGGTCAAGTTGTCCTTAGTTGGTGGTCAAGTTGTCCGCCTAGGTTGGTGGTCAAGTTGTCCGCCTAGGTTGGGGGTCAAGTTGTCCGCCTAGGTTGGTGGTCAAGTTGTCCTTGGTTGGTGGTCAAGTTGTCCTTAGTTGGTGGTCAAGTTGTCCTTAGTTGGTGGTCAAGTTGTCCGCCTAGGTTGGTGGTCAAGTTGTCCGCCTAGGTTGGTGGTCAAGTTGTCCGCCTAGGTTGGTGGTCAAGTTGTCCTAGGTTGGTAGTCAAGTTGTCCTTGGTTGGTGGTCAAGTTGTCCTAGGTTGGTGGTCAAGTTGTCCTTGGTTGGTGGTCAAGTTGTCCTTAGTTGGTGGTCAAGTTGTCCTTAGTTGTTGGTCAAGTTGTCCGCCTAGGTTGGTGGTCAAGTTGTCCGCCTAGGTTGGTGGTCAAGTTGTCCGCCTAGGTTGGTGGTCAAGTTGTCCTAGGTTGGTGGTCAAGTTGTCCTTGGTTGGTGGTCAAGTTGTCCTAGGTTGGTGGTCAAGTTGTCCTTGGTTGGTGGTCAAGTTGTCCTAGGTTGGTGGTCAAGTTGTCCTTGGTTGGTGGTCAAGTTGTCCTTAGTTGGTGGTCAAGTTGTCCTTAGTTGGTGGTCAAGTTGTCCGCCTAGGTTGGTGGTCAAGTTGTCCGCCTAGGTTGGTGGTCAAGTTGTCCTAGGTTGGTGGTCAAGTTGTCCGCCTAGGTTGGTGGTCAAGTTGTCCTTGGTTGGTGGTCAAGTTGTCCTAGGTTGGTGGTCAAGTTGTCCGCCTAGTTTGGTGGTCAAGTTGTCCTAGGTTGGTGGTCAAGTTGTCCTAAGTTGGTGGTCAAGTTGTCATTGGTTGTTGGTCAAGTTGTCATTGGTTGGTGGTCAAGTTGTCATTGGTTGGTGGTCAAGTTGTTCTAGGTTGGTGGTCAAGTTGTCCTAGGTTGGTGGTCAAGTAGTCCGTCTTGATTGGTGGTCAAGTTGTCCTAGGTTGGTGGTCAAGTAGTCCTAGGTTGGTGGTCAAGTAGTCCTAGGTTGGTGGTCAAGTTGTCCTAGGTTGGTGGTCAAGTTGTCCTAGGTTGGTGGTCAAGTTGTCCGCCTTGGTTGGTGGTCAAGTTTTCCTAGGTTGGTGGTCAAGTTGTCCTAGGTTGTTGGTCAAGTTGTCCTTAGTTGGTGGTCAAGTTGTCCGCCTTGGTTGGTGGTCAAGTTTTCCTAGGTTGGTGGTCAAGTTGTCCTAGGTTGTTGGTCAAGTTGTCCTTAGTTGGTGGTCAAGTTGTCCTTAGTTGGTGGTCAAGTTGTCCGCCTAGGTTGGTGGTCAAGTTGTCCGCCTAGGTTGGGGGTCAAGTTGTCCGCCTAGGTTGGTGGTCAATTTGTCCTAGGTTGGTGGTCAAGTTGTCCTAGGTTGGTGGTCAAGTTGTCCTTGGTTGGTGGTCAAGTTGTCCTTAGTTGGTGGTCAAGTTGTCCTTAGTTGGTGGTCAAGTTGTCCGCCTAGGTTGGTGGTCAAGTTGTCCGCCTAGGTTGGGGGTCAAGTTGTCCGCCTAGGTTGGTGGTCAAGTTGTCCGCCTAGGTTGGTGGTCAAGTTGTCCGCCTAGGTTGGTGGTCAAGTTGTCCGCCTAGGTTGGGGGTCAAGTTGTCCGCCTAGGTTGGTGGTCAATTTGTCCTAGGTTGGTGGTCAAGTTGTCCTAGGTTGGTGGTCAAGTTGTCCTTGGTTGGTGGTCAAGTTGTCCTTAGTTGGTGGTCAAGTTGTCCTTAGTTGGTGGTCAAGTTGTCCGCCTAGGTTGGTGGTCAAGTTGTCCGCCTAGGTTGGGGGTCAAGTTGTCCGCCTAGGTTGGTGGTCAAGTTGTCCGCCTAGGTTGGTGGTCAAGTTGTCCGCCTAGGTTGGTGGTCAAGTTGTCCGCCTAGGTTGGTGGTCAAGTTGTCCGCCTAGGTTGGTGGTCAAGTTGTCCTAGGTTGGTAGTCAAGTTGTCCTTGGTTGGTGGTCAAGTTGTCCTAGGTTGGTGGTCAAGTTGTCCTTGGTTGGTGGTCAAGTTGTCCTTAGTTGGTGGTCAAGTTGTCCTTAGTTGTTGGTCAAGTTGTCCGCCTAGTTTGGTGGTCAAGTTGTCCGCCTAGGTTGGTGGTCAAGTTGTCCGCCTAGGTTGGTGGTCAAGTTGTCCTAGGTTGGTGGTCAAGTTGTCCTTGGTTGGTGGTCAAGTTGTCCTAGGTTGGTGGTCAAGTTGTCCTTGGTTGGTGGTCAAGTTGTCCTTAGTTGGTGGTCAAGTTGTCCTTAGTTGTTGGTCAAGTTGTCCGCCTAGGTTGGTGGTCAAGTTGTCCGCCTAGGTTGGTGGTCAAGTTGTCCGCCTAGGTTGGTGGTCAAGTTGTCCTAGGTTGGTGGTCAAGTTGTCCTTGGTTGGTGGTCAAGTTGTCCTAGGTTGGTGGTCAAGTTGTCCTTGGTTGGTGGTCAAGTTGTCCTTAGTTGGTGGTCAAGTTGTCCTTAGTTGGTGGTCAAGTTGTCCGCCTAGGTTTGTGGTCAAGTTGTCCGCCTAGGTTGGTGGTCAAGTTGTCCTAGGTTGGTGGTCAAGTTGTCCGCCTAGGTTGGTGGTCAAGTTGTCCTTGGTTGGTGGTCAAGTTGTCCTAGGTTGGTGGTCAAGTTGTCCGCCTAGTTTGGTGGTCAAGTTGTCCGCCTAGGTTGGTGGTCAAGTTGTCCTAGGTTGGTGGTCAAGTTGTCCTAAGTTGGTGGTCAAGTTGTCATTGGTTGTTGGTCAAGTTGTGATTGGTTGGTGGTCAAGTTGTTCTTGGTTGGTGGTCAAGTTGTCCTAGGTTGGTGGTCAAGTTGTCATTGGTTGTTGGTCAAGTTGTCCTAGGTTGGTGGTCAAGATGTCCGCCTAGGTTGGTGGTCAAGATGTCCTAGGTTGGTAGTCAAGTTGTTCTTGGTTGGTGGTCAAGTTGTCCTTGGTTTGTGGTCAAGTTTTCATTGGTTGGTGGTCAAGTTGTCCGCCTTGGTTGGTGGTCAAGTTGTCCTAGGTTGGTGGTCAAGTTGTCATTGGTTGGTGGTCAAGTTGTCCTAAGTTGGTGGTCAAGTTGTCATTAGTTGGTGGTCAAGTTGTGCTAAGTTGGTGGTCAAGTTGTCATTGGTTGGTGGTCAAGTTGTCCTAGGTTGGTGGTCAAGTTGTCCGCCTTGGTTGGTGGTCAAGTTGTCCTAGGTTGGTGGTCAAGTTGTCATTGGTTGGTGGTCAAGTTGTCCTAAGTTGTTGGTCAAGTTGTCATTAGTTGGTGGTCAAGTTGTCCTAAGTTGGTGGTCAAGTTGTCATTGGTTGGTGGTCAAGTTTTCCTAGGTTGGTGGTTAAGTTTTCTGAAGTAGGTTGGTTGTCAGTTACTTAAGATGTCTAGTTGTGTAACACTGTTGGTGGTTGTCTAGTTGTCACCTTTGTCAAGTATCAAGGAAAGATAATGAAGCTGTCGGCACTGTTGATTATGCGTGGTCAAGTCGGTAAAACTCATGAAACTAAACCGAAAAGTCTCGAGTTTGAACCCCCGGGCTAATAAGGCTCGATAGACAGCCACTCTTCTAGGAGAGACAACTCCAAAATCAAACAACTGCTGCCTTGTAGTTTGTTCTTTGTTGGACAAAGGCTATGGAAGCAAATCCAAAAAGAAAAGCAGGATGAAATTGAAGTCAATGACCTATATGGCATAACAAGTTGACACGTAAACATTATTTTGGAGGGAATCTCTTCCAACACTAGAATTATGATGGATGAAGATTCATTAACCAATGAATTTTTAAAATTACCTATTGACTCCTTACCTTTTTACTCGTTATTTTTCATTTTTCATTCTCTTTTATGAACACTGATGAATGAAGTATTATAGTATTATAGAATTATTCCTTAATTAAGTCATTTTCACTAATAACATTTTGATTTCTCATTGTCTTAACTATTTTTTTCCAAATCGATTAATAATTTCTTTACGGAATGCGTATTGTATAATTACTGATTATGTAATTGATTTCTTATCGACTAATTACATATTCAATATTGATCTTTTAACAAACCCTAATTAATCTCTCCCCACTCATTTAGACCTGGGACGCGAACCTAGCCCGTGACGCCGAACTTTGGAGCTCTAACTGCCTCTACCAGCGGCCTCCACGCGAGCAGTACGACGTGGGTTCGAACCTGTTCCTTGATTACGACCTTGTGCACAACGACGCGACCATCAGCCGTTTGGTCAACAGGTCGTTGACCTCTTGGTCAAACAGCAGACACTTTGTGTACGGGCCGGAGTGTCGGAAGGGGTGCAGTTATGTACAGGTGAGGTGTGGTTGTGTACAGGTGTGGTGTAGGTGTGTACAGGTGTGGTTGTAGACAGGTGAGGTGTGGTTGTGTAAAGGTGAGGTGTGGTTGTGCGCAGGTGAGATATGGTTGTAGTGAGGTGTGTACAGGTGAGGTGTGGTTGTGTACAGGTGAGGTGTGGTTGTGTACAGGTGTGGTGTGGGTGTGGACAGGTGAGTTGTGGTTGTGCATAGATGAGACGTGGTTGTGTAAGGTGAGGTGTGGTTGTGTACAGGTGGGATGTGGTTATGTACAGGTGAGGCGTGGTTGTGGACAGGTGATGTGTGGCTGTGGACAGGTGAGATGTGGTTGTGTACATGTGAGGTGTAGTTGTGTACAGGTGTGGTTGTGTACAGGTGGGATGTGGTTATGTACAGGTGAGGTGTGGCTGTGGACAGGTGAGGTGTGGTTGTGGACAGGTGAGGTGTGGTTGTGGACAGGTGAGGCGTGGTTGTGTACAGGTGAGGTGTGGCTGTGGACAGGTGAGATGTGGTTGTGTACATGTGAGGTGTAGTTGTGTACAGGTGTGGTTGTGTACAGGTGAGGTGTGGTTGTGTTCAGGTGAGGTGTGGTTGTGTACAGATGTGTTTGTGTACAGGTAAGGTGTGGTTGTGTACTTGTGAGGTGTGATTGTGTTCAGGTGGGGTGTGGTTGTGTACAGGTAAGGTGTGGTTGTGGACAGGTGAGGTGTGGTTGTGTTCAGGTGAGGCGTGGTTGTGTACAGGTAAGGTGTGGTTGTGGACAGGTGAGGTGTGGTTGTCTACAGGTGAGGTGTGGTTGTGTACAGGTAAGGTGTGGTTGTGGACAGGTGAGGTGTGGTTGTGGACAGGTGAGGTGTGGTTGTGTTCAGGTGAGGTGTGGGTGTGTACAGGTGTGGTTGTGGACAGGTGAGGTGTGGTTGTGGACAGGTAAGGTGTGGTTGTGGACAGGTGAGGTGTGGTTGTGTTCAGGTGAGGTGTGGTTGTGTACAGGTAAGGTGTGGTTGTGGACAGGTGAGGTGTGGTTGTGGACAGGTGAGGTGTGGTTGTGTTCAGGTAAGTTGTGGTTGTGTACAGGTAAGGTGTGGTTGTGGACAGGTGATGTGTGGCTGTGGACAGGTGAGGTGTGGTTGTGGACAGGTGAGATGTGGGTGAGAACAGGTGAGGTGTGGTTGTGTACAGGTGAGGTGTGGTTGTGTACAGGTGAGGTGTGGTTGTGTACAGGTGAGGTGTGGTTGTGTACAGGTGAGGTGTGGTTGTGTACAGGTGTGGTGTGGTTGTGTACAGGTGTGGTGTGGTTGTAGACAGATGAGGTGTGGTTGTGTACAGGTGAGGTGTGGGTGTGTACAGGTGTGGTTGTGAACCGGTGAGGTGTGGGTGTGTACAGGTGAGGTGTGGTTGTGTACAGGTGAGGTGTGGATGTGGACAGGTGAGGTGTGGTTGTGGACAGGTGAGGTGTTGTTATGTACATGTGAGGTGTGGTTGTGTACAAGTGCGGTAAGGTTGTGTACAGGTGAGGTGTGGTTATGTACATGTGAGATGTGTTTATTTACAGGTGTGGTTGTGTATAGGTGGGGTGTGGGTGTGTACAAATGTGGTTGTGGACAGGTGTAGTTGTGTACAGGTGTGGTTGTGGACAGGTCAAGTGTGGCTGTGTACAGTTGAGGTGTGGTTGTAAACAGGTGAGGGTGTTTGTGTACAGGTGATGTGTGGTTGTGTACATGTGAGGTGTGGTTGTCTACAGGTGAGGTGTGGGTGTGTACAAGTGTGGTTGCGTACAGGTGAGGTGTGGTTGTAAACAGGTGAGGTGTGTTTGTGTACAGGTGATGTGTGGTTGTGTACATGTGAGGTGTGGTTGTCTACAGGTGAGGTGTGGTTGTGTACTTGTGAGGTGTGATTGTGTTCAGGTGAGGAGTGGTTGTGGACAGATGAGGTGTGGGTGTGTTCAGGTTGTGTACAGTTGTACATCATCAACGACACTATCAAACCACATCATCATCCACCCCACATCCACAGATGATCAACGCTGAGACGAACCGGCTCGGCTGTGCACTCACCACATGCATGTCCCTGCGCACGTCACGTACCAGCTTCTCTCACGCCAGTCTCATGGTCTGTTTCTACTCACCACGGTACGTACAGTAGTGTTCAAATTTAAAGCTAGTGTTGTTGGAGGCTTTGTCTCGGTTAAAGGGAAATAATCATGAAATTTCTTCCTCAGATTAATTTATCAAGGATCGCTTCCCTTTGAAAAGGGCTCAGCCTGCTCCCAGTGTCCAGAGGATACATTTTGTCGCTCTGGTTTATGTGCAGAGCCAGGTTTCTATTTCTTTATTCCTTATATGTTTAGAGCACATATTCACACATATACACATATATTAATACACACATGTGCTTTTTTTAAAAAAAAATTCTTTTTGTAGTCTGTGTAGTTACAGGCTGTAATAAGTGTTGTTGACGTGAACTCTAGCTGCTATCAGTCTTCTATTTTCTCATGTTGTCTCTAGGGGTACCAGCTGTGCCATTAGCCTATGAAAGTAGAACCACACCAGTTCCATTCAACTTCGTCATTAAAGATGGTAGGGATTTCTATTTTTAGTAGTATCATTTTACATAGTTACGTACGTATATATATTTATAAATAAAAGATAATGATATATATATATATATATATATATATATATATATATATATATATATATATATATATATATATATATATATATATATATATATATATATATATAATGTTGGATGATGCCAAATGAACGATCACATGTTGTTTAATGACAGAGCTGACGTCAACAGAGAAATATTACTTGAAGCTCATCCACAACAGGTTGAGGAAGGACCAGAGTCTGGATGAGCTGGTGGGTCACTAGGGGTTGATGTTAGAATATATAAACATTACACCAGACTAGGGGTTGATGTTAGAATATATAAACATTACACCAGACTAGGGGTTGATGTTAGAATATATAAACATTACATGTCACCAGGCACATACACACACACAAACACACATACACACATACACGTACAAACACATTTACTTAGAATAAATGTCTTTCGGTTGGTCATCAAAGTGTTTTCCCCTACCCCCCCCCTCCCCTCTCTCCCTTTACACGTGTGTCTAGAACTGGGACGACGCTCTAGAGAGATGGGCGAATCACGTGATCAACTGCAATATCAACTTCCCAGGGCCTAAACACGCCTTCACCAACTTCCACCGTCTGGAGCAGGTGAGTCATACCCACCCACCTACCCACCCACCCACCCACTAAGATTATCCAAGAAATAAAGGGTTTAACTTTAAAGACGTGTTTTGGACAAGCTTAACACATTTGAACTAGTTTCGCAAGTTAAATAATTGTTAAAATCGAAAAGATTTGAAAGTTTTCTTATGCGATGATAGAGATAACTCTTACTGACCAAGTCAAGGGAAAAAACTCTATGTAGCTTGTATACATCAAGTGTTAAGTCAGGTACCTTATGAAACGTGTCAGGCTAAATTGGTGACGTCATAGGACTCCAGCCAGGTGCCTGCGTAGCCTGTCCTGCGAGAGAAATCTGGAAACGACAGTACCGTCTTTTACCCCCCCCCCCCCCCCCCCCCGAACATATACCCCCCCCCCCCCAAGAACATATACCCCCCCTCCCAGAACATACCCCCCCAGAACATACCCCCCCCAATTAACCCTAGTGTTAGGGCTAGTGTCAGTGTTAGATTCAAGGTTAGGGTTAGATGTAGGCTTAGAGTTGGTGTTACGATTGATGTTGGGGTTAGGGTCAGGGTTCTTCAGGATGGGGTGTATTGACAAGTGGTAATTGACAGGGGGTCGGGGTCGGTGTTCTTCAGGATGGGGTGTATTGACAAGGGGTTATTGACAGGGGAGGTGGGGGGGGGGGGGTAATCGACAGTAATGATTCCACGGAGTATCGGTGGGGACATTACCTGGGGGTGGACAATGTCCTAGATGCCTTGTTTGATAAAGTCCTTGTGTCCTAGACCCATGCCTGATAAAGTCCTTGTGTCCTAGACCCATGTCTGATAAAGTCCTTGTGTCGACACCTCACCTGTGTTTTGATCTCCCCCCCCCCAACAGACTATGGAGGCGTACCGGGCTGTGTACACCTGGCAGAGCGAGGGGTCAAACACCTACCTGCAGCACGTGCAAGGCTGCCGCGCTCCCATTGGATCAGCCAGATGTAACCATTTGACAAATGTAAGTAGGCCAAGGTCGTGTAAGTAGGTCGTGTTTAGTTGTGTAGGTCATGTTCAAGTTAGTGGGTCATGTCCTTGTTAGAAGATTGTGTTATAGTTAGTTGATAATGTCCATGTTAGTTGATTATGTCCATGTTTGTTGATTAAGTCCATGTTAGTTGATTATGTCCATGTTAGTTGATTATGTCCATGTTAGTAGATTATGTCCATGTTAGTTGATTGTGTCCATGTTAGTTGATTGTGTCCATGTTAGTGGATTATGTCCATGTTAGTGGATTATGTCCATGTTAGTTGATTATGTCCATGTTAGTAGATTATGTCCATGTTAGTTGATTATGTCCATGTTAGTTGATTATGTCCATGTTAGTTGATTATGTCCATGTTAGTGGATTATGTCCATGTTAGTAGATTATGTCCATGTTAGTTGATTATGTCCATGTTAGTGGGTCATGTCCAAGTGAGTACGTCATTATACATATCAACAGCGAAAATAGTAAAAAGCGAGATTCCGTCCTCTATTTTATTTTGTAGAGAGTAATTTCGTCTAGCGAACTATAACAGATAAATACAATCTATCTTTAAACACAGGTATAACTTACAAACAAAGAGTCTAAATAGGTGTTTTAGAAAATCTAAAAATAAGTCACATGATCAAAATGCACTGATATGAACCCTTACATTACACAGCTTAGGGCCCTTAATGCTTAAACACACAAAAAAAAAACCGTTAAAAGATTTCTTTCTTTTTAACAATAAAATAATGACATTAAAACAGAAAATGATTGTTTTATTTATTAAGAGAACATTAAACCAAGCCTTAGAATGACGCTGCGAGCAGAAATACGAGAAAAAATATACACTCCAAAAAAATATCATTGGCACGTAATTGGTTTGTTAGCACACGCGAGCCCAACCAGGCATGCTCAAGTTTCTTTTTTATTTCCTGGCACAATATTTGAACAGAAGATGCGCGTGAAATTTGTTTTTTTTTAAAGAATTTTTTTGAAGCTAAAAATAATTTCTATGGTTTCCTAGCGCTGTAGCATGTTTAGGGTTTAGGTGTGGAGAGCAGATTCGTATAATCACCACTAGGTCTAATCCTTACATCTTTAGTACATTTGTGTTGCGATTATTTTTAACCGTTAATTCTTAGGTCTAGTACAGTGGTTCTTAACCTTTTTGTAGGTAATGAACCCCACCAGTTTCATATGCACATTCTACGATCCGCACTAACGAAATACGTTCATGAATCATACAGAGTTTCTTCCAGGCATCTCTTTGGGGGAGGGGGGGGGATATAGCCGCCCCCCCCCCCCCTGAAGAAAGTCATACCGCCCCCCCTCCCCCGAACGAAATGGAACTTATATAGAAAATATATAATTTTACCAGTGTCCGCCCCCGGAAAATGTCCACCCCCCCCCCCGTTCCCAAATATCAAGTCCCCCCCCCCCCCCCCACGGAGAAAAAAGTCTGGAAGAATCACTGGAATCATATGAGTCGGATGTGTCTTGACCTCCGCCGAACCCTTAAGACTGACTCCACGAAACCCTGGGGTTCGATCGAACCCAGGTTAAGAACCACTGGTCTAGTAGCTAGTTTTAAAACGTTTTATTTACAAACTCATGATCTACCGTCAGCATCTATGGTTAACGGGTTCATATTTAGCCATTCTAATTGACTAATTAACGAACTCAAAATTTCATCTGATTATTTGAAGATGTATATGGTCATTTCTAAATTATACACATATCGAAAATAAAAATATATTTTAAAAAGTTTTATTAACAAGCTTCTATATTTCCTAAAATATATACCAATGCACCACTATTTATAAAACTCTTTTAAAAAAGCGTGAGTCGCTTCTTAAATAATAGTAAAATTATTCAATAGGTAATATAGTGTGTCACTTTCTACAATATCGTTGAATATTATGTTGATAGCAACAAAGTAATGAGAAAATATTCAGTAAAATAAACAAAATTAACTGATCTTAATATAATTGGTTTTAAAATTTAAGTAATGACTTTTTTATCCGAAAGAAATATTTAAAAAACAAAACAAAACAACACTTAAGCATAAAAACAACAACAAAAACAAAAACAACCCAGCAACAACAGCTCTGCTATGAAAGAAAATTTTTCTTTCAAACGAAAAACTCCAGATGAAATGTTCGTAGCTTCTAGCAATCAAATATTTGATCATCAACGGTACGTATACGTTTTTATTCCAAGGTTCTACACAGTTAAAAGAAACGTCGATAATATTTGTTGACAAGCAAAAAAAAAAAAAAAAACACATTATCATCGAATTCTTAGAATATTTCAATTCTAAGTTTTTTTTAAAATAAAGTTTAATTTTAATCTTTGTAGAAAAGTTTTTTTTGAAGTTTTAATTTTAATCTTGATAGAAAAAAAGCTTCGGGCTACCTGCTATATGAGATAATTAAAATCACGTGTCATTGGATACTGGGAGAGGTGAAACTGACCGGAGCCCATTAGCTCCAGCCTTGAGAAATATCAAACGAAATAAAAAATAACACACACACACACACGTACACACACACACACACAAACACACGTACACACACGCGCGTACAAAATCAGCTGTCATAATTTAGCCAGAAAATTGTTAATGACGTAGGAACATTTGGGTCATGGGAAAATCATGATAATGATGTTGTTTTTTTAATGATGTCTCGAGAAGTTCTGAGACCTCACTAAGTACACTGAGGTATGAGGTATATCGAGTATATCGTAGATATGGTAAGTCTTACTGGGATATACCGGGGCATACCCGGACAAACGGTGACATACTGGGACTTACGGGGACATATGGGGACATATGGGGCGTACGGGGACATACCAGGACATGCGGGGACATAACCGGAGAAACGGTGACATACTGGGACTTACGCGGACATATGGGACATACCGGGACAAATGGGGACATACAGGGACAAACGGGGACATACCAGGACATAACGGGACAAGCGGTGATATACCGGGATATACCGATATTCACCGATCCTTTTTTTTTATACCTACGAAGATTCGCCGAGGCTTACCGAGAAGTACCGAAACTAACCGAGATTGCCGAGAATTACCGAGATTGTCCTACATTTATGTACAGAGATATGCCAATATCCGAACAAGACAAAAAAAATGTGCACAACCGCGGGCGATGGGATACTGCGAAATGCACACACACACAAAAATCCAACAAAAAAATAAACCGGGAGTGATCTCCCCTAAACTTTCTCGAATATTCTTATATAAAATAACAGGGGATGGGAACTCGGGCTATAGACATGATTTTTAATCCATTTTAAATACTTAAAGTTTTAAAAATAGAATAAAATCTCGTAGACAAATTAATTGCACACCAAGTGAACGCGAAATAAAAAAGCGCGTAATAGTGCGCAATATTATTATCTATCTATTATACTACTAAAAGTCAAGTTTGTTTACATGTTTGAATATTTATTTGTTTTTTTGTTTGTTTTTTTGTTTGTTTTTTTGTTTGCCTGATCGACTATCTCGCATGGTTGCACTCATCGTGGAAAGCTGTAAAATAGTATGTAGGTAGAGAAAAAATTTTGTTTTAAGACAGACTGTTAATCACAAATTTATTTAAAGACGTTAATTAATTTATCGATTTATTCATATGCAGAGTAACCCATTTTTTTTTAAAAGATTAAAACGACCACTACACTCGGCGGGACCGTGACGTCACAGGTTTTTGTTTACTCTTTAGCACAATAAAATGGCGGCGTCTATCGAAGAAAATTGTGTTCCCATTCACAAGTTTAACGCGTTCTAAATCTAATTTTCTGTGGGTCATAACTTTAACAATACGTCCGTTTGCTGTATTTATTACGTTCCAACACTTATATCAATTTTCAACTGTCTTTTTCATTTAGTTTTACGATAAATTTCTCTAGATCTAAAATTTGTCCAAGAAAGTTATTTATAGATCTAGATCTAGAATCTAGATCTAGGTCAAATCAAAGATTTAATAGTTATAAATAAATACAATCTAAAAAAAAAACGAGACTTAAGCAAACCAGTCGTAGATCTAGAATATAGATAATTCTATCTAGATTTAGATCTAGATAATAACTAGATAATAATGAGTTTCTATATACTAAACTATTTTAAACCTTTATTATTTTGTATAAATCTTTGTTTCGAATATGCAAATTTTGAAATGCTGGATCCGGGCCTATTGGCGTAGCTTAAGATTCATACGCGGCTTCGATGCCGGTAAGTTTGCTAAATTATAAACTAAATTCTAAATATAGCTCAGTCGTAGATCTAAAATGTAGATAATTTTCTATCTAGATTTAGTTAATAATGATTTTCTATATACTAAACTATTTTAGACCTTTATTATTTTATATAAATCTTTGTTTGGAATATGGTAATTTTGAAATGCTCGCTCTGGGCCTATGAGCGTAGCTAATGATTAGATCTAGATTCTAGATCTAGCAAGAAAAACTAAACTTAAGACTTAAGCAAACGAGTCGTAGAATCTAGATCAAGATAATTCTATCTAGATCTAGATTTTTTTCTAGATAATTTCAGACCTTCTTTATTTTATATAAATCTTTGTTTGGCTAAGTTAAGATAAAATTTAATTTGAAAGTTGCTGCTACTAGACTTAGTTCTAGATCTACGCGCGTAAATAAAGTTGGATAAGGAGACTCATAGTATAGTGTAAAAATTCATTTGTGTCGTCACGAGTAAATAGCTAAGTTGGTAGCGTAGTCCGCTCTCATGCGGTTGGTACAGGTTCTAGACCAATATGTCACTGATATATTTTTTTCAATTTTTTTTTTTTAGATGTGAATGATAAAGTTATCTATCTGAACTTGGCAGGATACAGGGCAGGTGAAGTAGAGTTCATCTGTTTCTTTGTCCTAAGCATATGAAAGGATAGTGTGGTCAGAGACATGCTCGGCTGGAATCGTTTTTTAAACGATAAAAACATGT